TATCTTGACCCCTGGGAGTTCCAGAGGTTCTATAATAGGGTTAATTGTAGGAGAACCAATTGGGATTTGAGATCAGAGAACTCAGATTCTGATTTCAGCTCTGCATTGAGTCAGACCTGGCCAAAGACCAACACCCTCACCTGAACTCAAATAAAATAGCAACCTTCTAGAACTACACTGTGGTTTTAACCCTATCCAATGGCTTGGCACTTAAGAGTGAAACGAATTTTGGTTCAACTTCAATCTTTAATGATCTGAGGGTTCCAGATCTGTGTTTTCAATACAGAGATATTATGATAAAATTATAAGTAACATGAACATCTTTTGCAACAATGCAAGATCATAGCATGAAAGCAGTTAAATCAACAAAATTATTCTGTAAGTTTCATGAATTTGATACTAATACTGTTATTTACCTTTGTTTTAACTCATATTTACCTTTTTTAGTAATTCTCTTCTCTTTTCCTTTCCCCCTTATAGCCCAATTTCACGAACTCTTTTTTCCAAAGAAAATGCAAATAGAGAAAATGTCTTGCTCTGTATTTTTTTTAAAAACTGTATAGGTTTTTAAGTGTCTAAATTGTTTTCTAAATTACTTCAGTAACTGTTTTTGTTTTTGTTTTTTGTTGTTGTTGTTGTTGTTTTTTCAACTTAATAGGAGATGTGAATGTTGACTCTAGTGGATTCCATTTCTGGTTAATCCAGGTCAGGATTTATGGAGACCTCATGTGGTGACAAGAGGCACCACAAAGGGCTTCCTTCAGGAGTGGGGAACAGAGTCAAAGAGAAACTCAGAACTCATTTGGGAGCAACATAGAATTAAGACCGAGAACTTAATGGTAGTGAAGCAAGGTAAGGCCTCTAAAAACACATTGAAATAATACTGAAGAAACAATATAAACTATTTGTAAAAATGAGAAATCTGGTCACTCATGTATGAATTTCCCTTTATTACCTGAAAAGTTGATAATACAGAAATTAATGTGCCATGTCTCTTATGGATTAGTTGCAATCTTCCTCTCTTTTACTTAATAAAATCCATTGGACATACCTTCTTATTTAAATTTGCTTCAGGTTAAACTATATGTTTCTGTAGGCCTGTTGCTCTGAATGCTTTCAGCTCTTTTCTCCATTGTACACAGAATGGAAAGTGAGCCAGAGAAAGAATCGAACTTGAACTTATGTCTATGACTTGGCCTTGTGTAACGATCACATAGCATTATTTGTGAACTAGAGGCCCGGTGCACGATATTTGTGCACTAGTAGTGGGGTGGGGGCTCAGCCCGGCCTGCGCCCTCTTGCAGTCTGGGAGCCCTCTTGGGATGTCTGACACGGGGAGCGGGCTAAGCTCTACAGTCAGACTACCTTAGTGCTGCTGTGGAGGCAGCAGAGGCTCCTTCCACCACGGCTGCACTCGCCAGCCATGAGCCCGGCTCTGGGCTTCTGGCTGAGCAGTGCTCCCTCTGCGGGAGCTCACTGACCACCAGGGGGCAGCTCTGCATTGAGCATCTGCCCCCTGGTGGTCAGTGAATGTCATAGTGACTGGTCTTTCCACAGTGTGGTTGATTTGCATATTAGCCTTTTATTATGTAGGATAATGGAATACAGGATTTTTTTTTTTGCAAATAAAATATAGAGAAATGATTCTATGTGGTGGATAAAATTGAACATAAATCATCCTGTTGCTAAGAAGGTATAAAAATTGTGAAATTAATGAATTTAGGGTGGTAGTAAACATATTTCAACCGTATGATTCACTGGTACTGACTAAAGAAAATTAGCTGGGAATAGAAGCGGGTAGAGAGGGATAGGAAAATTCTTCATCAATGATAGGTACTTGTTCTTTATCTCATGTTCCTTTAAAGAAAATGTGAATATAGCTTCCACCTTCTCCTTCTTAAGAACTTTAAGCTAAAATTTAGAAGGATAAATGAGAGTTAATAAATGTCTGGGATTCTTTAAAAGAATCAAGCAATTAAAATCTATGGCATTAAAATGAGTATCCTAAGAGTACCTTGTCTTTGGAAATGTCCTCAAAATGCCCTTAAAAGTTTTCGAGGGCAGGCAAAATGACATAGGTAGAGGTAGCTATTAAGAAAAGACATTTTACATAGACACAGACTATATAGTGCAGTGAAGGCCTGAGGAAGGGCCTGGAGTGGGGTAGAGGGGGATCAAGGGGGCAAGACACTGAAAAACTTAAGTAGGAAAAATGTTAATGGGGATAATGGAAAAACTTCAGATTGAGTATATTATTGCGTTTCAGAGTTCCTACTGTGTGTCCAGCCTATTGTTAAATGTTGGACATAAAAAGGAAAATTAGGACAGATCCTATTTCTTTCAAATGGGTGACAGATAATTATACAAATAATTATCACACTGTGAAATTGGCATTAGGCTGGGGGCTTGCACAAATTCCCCTGACAGCCCTGATGAAAACGGGGCAAGGGAGGGTTAGGTGAAGCATTTAAACTCATGCAAAGTTATTGACAGATTTATATGTCAACAAACCAATAGCGACATGGTTTAGTTGGGAGGAGGGGGGAGGGCGGAGCTGGAGCGTGGCCGCAGTTGCCAGACACACATCACATTAGAAAGACAAAAAGAAACCAGGAAATTCTCTTCCAAGACATAGTGGGGGAAAATATCCGTAACTACCTTCCGGTACAAGGTGCTTGCTAGGAATTTATTTTTTTCCCTCCTCATTAAAATCACACACATACTCAAGCCCTTAGAGTTTTGTGAGCATATTACATGTTCAAGACATCAACTAAGCATGGTATTGTCAAGCGTGTGATGATAAGGAAAGGGTTAAACGGAAGGGGGTGTTCCAGACATGGGAAGGCTGGATAGAAGGTGGAAAACCACCGTTTTCCCACTTGCAAAAACTCTGAACTTTTAAGCTCCCCAAAATAAACGTGTGCGTGTCTGTGAGCGCAGGCAGATCTATTTCGGTAGGATTTAAAAACATTTTTTTAAAAAAATCATCCTCTCTCTGTCTTGCTGCGCTGCAAACCCCGAGCAGCGCCCTTAGGATCGCGTGGCAGAGGCTGCAGCAGAAGCACCGACCGGCAGCGCTGTTTACGCCGCGTTCCAAGCCGCGCTCTCCCCGGTTCCCCACTGGGAGCCACCATCTCCGAGGCCGGGTCACCCCTGGGGACCTGGGACTGGGGGCGGGGGCCCGGGAGCCCGGTTCCTCCCCGGAAAACTTTGCTGCGCGTGGGAGCGAGGGCGCTCGTCGTGGTGCATGGGAACGCGCGGCCAGCCGCCTCCTC